ACTAACCCTGTCAAGACAAGCTACTATATATAAATGAGGAGCAAACCCCACACTTACTAGCACTGATAAATTACCTAGTTCAGTGACCTTTCTGCCATTGTGTGCCAAAAATGGGAGGAGCGCAGAAGGGTCATGCGTGAGTGTGCCCACACCAATGCGCCCTTCCCCCCCGGGCACGCCCCCCCCACATGCTCTCCCCACTTTTGGCACAAAGTGGCACAGTGGACCCGTTTTTCGCCCTCCCCAGGCTTCAGACCCTTTCTAGGAGCTGGGGATGGTGAAAATGGCCTTCCCCACCCTCCAGAGGCTGAAAATGGCCAATTTGCCAACTTCCGGTCAGACCAGAAGGCCCATTTTTTGCTCTCCCCAGAGCCTTTCTAGGAGCCAGGGGAGGGCGAAAAATGGTCCAACACGGAAATTTGGGAATGGACTTCCGGGTTGCCCAATGGGCCATTTTTCACCCTCCAGAGACTTCAGGGATGCCTCCAGAGGGTGAAAAACAACCGAAAATCAGCTGGCTGCTGGAGCTGACAGGGTACGGCCTCACGTGCCCTCAGAAATGGCTCCATGTGCCATCTGTGGCATGTGTGCCATAGGTTCGCCATCATGGACCTAGTTGGATAATGAAAATTCCGCAGGTAAATAGCCAAGCTCAGAGAGCACCAAGAATTCCACAGTTCAGCTCCGAGCTACATATATTCTCTTCTGTTGGAACTGTTCTACTTTGTTGTAAAAACAGAAAGTTATGGGTTTTATGTTTATTTTCTTCAGGGTCTGCCAATATCCAAGACGAGATAAAGAAAAAAGATGAAAAGCTTCTTACTTTGTTGAAGGATGTCCGTGTTGATTCCAGTGATCCAGGCTTGCAAGTGAGTTACCAAGTCTTAAAATGCACACACGCTTTGATAATTTAGCTTTACATAGCACCCTGGGGACAAAATAAGTTTTTCATGATACAGTCTAAATAGTCTTTGCTTTCTTATATTGATTTGTTACCCATATCAGTACAAGCCAGTGCCTGATATTTCTTTCAGTTTATGAATGGAATTAATCTTTTATACATTTCCCATTCCCAGTGACATTTAAGGATCGATCTGTGTAAACTTTTTCACAGATTCCCCAGGTATCTTGTTTTATTTCACCTGCTCAAAATTCTGTTTTGCCTTTATTTTGGTAATGAACTGCAAATGCATCAGAATTCCTGGTAATTTGAAAACTCTCACAGGTACTCCTTGACTTGCAACCATTTATTTAGTAATCTCTTGAAGTTACAAGAAAGCTGAAAAAAGTGACATATGCTCTTTGCACTTACACCAGGGGTCGGCAACATTAAACACTCAAAGAACCTCAAAGGTCCTAACTGGAAGTCCCCTCCCCTGTTCAATTCTGGAGCCAACCAGAAGCCTAGTTCCCCATAGAGTCTCCTCTTAGCATGGCATCCTTTTTCCCCTACCTGTCCTAACCAAAAGTCCTATCAATTGTGAAGCTGACTGATAACAGGGAGCTGCAGCAAAGGGATAAATGAGCCACATGCAGCTCCAGAGCCACAGATTGCTGATCCATGACTTGGACTGTTGTCCTGTGATCAAAATTTGAGCTCTTGGCATTTGGCATGTATTTATGATGGTTGCAGCATCCTGGCATAGGAATAGCTCTTAGACTTATATACTGGTCCCATAGTGCTTTACACCGCTGAGAGGTTTATAAAGTCAGCATATTGCCCGCAATAATCTGAGTCCTCATTTGACCAATGTTGGAAGGCTGAATCAACCTGGAGCTCTGTCAGGATCAAACTCTAGACTGTGGGCAGAGTTAGCCTGCAATACTGCATTCCAAGCACTGCACCAACAGGGCATGTAGGTTACAAATGGCGATCATGTGATCTCCTTTTGTAATCTTTCCAGCCAGATTCCAACAAGCAAAATTAATGTGGGAAGCTGGATTTTCTTGGCAACGGCAGTGATTCGCTTAACAACCGTGGCAAAAAGGGGTCCTAATGGGACTCACGTAAACAACCTCTTGCATAACGAAGGAAATGCTGGTCCCAATTGTAGTCGTAAGTCAGGGGACTACCTGTATTCAAAAGTAAGCACTTCTGAATAACTTATTTGTATTTGGAATCTGACATGAAGATGCTCATAGATTGGAAGATTATTCAGAAATAATGTTAGCTGTGGTTTTAATAGGGCTTTCTCTCTTAATTCTAAGATAATTGATGTTGACTTTAATATAAGAGAGATAAATGGGTCTCTCATGCATTTGGTGGATGAGCTAGGTTCAAGGCCTATAGACGGCTTATTCTCAGAATTTAGAAGTTAGAAAGAAATGCTGAAGGATGTCCTGCTTGGAGATGCCCTCCTTTTTGTTTTTTGCCTCACTGTGCCTCTGGCAGCTTGTTCTACTTTCTGTCCCAGATCTTTTTTTGCCTCCTTTCTTTTCTGTTCATCTCTTCCCCCTCTCCTCCACTCACTGTAGTTGCAGAGGTAGTTATCTTTAGTCTGAATTTTAATATTTCATGAGGTTGTATGAAAAAATACCATGGCTGTGTTTGCTATCGTTGCTGTTCTCCACTGTCTTTGTAGTATTTTAAGACAAATCCCACATCAATCTATAATGAGATTTCTGGGGAGCTTCTGAGGAACTTTGAAAAAAATATCTTAATAAGCATTGCTTATTTTAAATTTCAATGATTATTGGTAGTGTCAAAATGTAAAACATGGTAAGGGAAACAAATTGCAGCATAGAAAGGAATGATCTGTTGATATTGACAAACCAGTTGTCCAAAATCAGAAATTCATAGCCAGTCTTTTTTACCCAGCAGTCTACTGCAAGCAGTCCTTGTGCTTATTCGCCTTTTCGTAGCAATTAAAGCTCTCAAGCAAGAACAGCCCATCTCTTAGCATATCAGTTTGTAAAATTCCTTGTGTTTTGATGCTATAAAATAGGTCAGCCTAATTTCAAAAATCCTCTGCAAGGGATCAGTTTAGAAAAATTGTCTTCCTTCTGGCAGTCCACTAGGTGGAGATAAAAAGAGAGAGAAGGATCACTTTTTCCTTGCTGGGCCCTCCCCAGCCTGAAATTTTGACTTGTAAGTGGGCATCATCTTACAGGGGTGTGTGCAGTGTTTCTTAACCTGGGTGACTTTTAAGATATCTGGACTTCAACTCCCAGAATTCCCCAGTTTGCTGAAGTCCACATATCTTAAAAGTTGCCAGGGTTGACAAAATTGATTCTCCTTCCTTCTTTTTTGATTTTTTTGCCCAACAATCAATTGCTTGGTTTCAGTTACTAAAACTAAACTAATCCTAAGTAGTCCATTTACAATTTTCTAAGATTCCTGAAAAGATAATGAAATGTATAGACTATTTTTTTCTCATGATTAGATCATTTATTTTTCAAAAAAGATACACCTCTGAGGTTATGTCTTTTATCCTGTATGTTAATGGGCAAAGCCTCTTGTCATTTAGGTTACCCAAAGAACAAGTCTTCATTGAAAATAGTTTCATGAATAATCGTTTAGAAATAGAAATAAGATACCGAGGATATCTTGACAGGCCACAACATTTGGCCAAAACTAATTGGATGTAATTTAAAAGTAATCAGGCTTGCATTTAGATGCCATGAAAATAAGTAGGGTTGCTGTAATTGGCACTGGATCCTGTATCTAGACACTTTTGTTTAGATAATGTAAGAAATGTTAAACTAAAAGGGTCTGGACCTAAGCCAGCAGGGCTATTTAGGTTCTTAATTGTTTTGTAAGTTTGCACTTATATCTTTTTTCCTTCTTAAACACTCCAGGTGTTAGTATCTAGCTTAGTATCTAGATCTTCCCTCATTTTAGACTCAAAACAATCTTGTGAGATTTTTAAGACAAGAGAGAACGTCTGGCCCAGAGTCACCCACTGAGTCCTATAGCTGAGGAGAAATTTGAATTATAGTCAAGAAAAAAATAATATTGAGGAAGAAAAGGAACAGCTGCTAGCAAGAAAAAGAAACCTGAGGTAAAAGAAACCTGAGTCCAGAACAGAATTGTAACCTGAGGAAGCATCTCAGACAAGACCCATCCTAATTCTCATGAGGATAAAGGGAGGGAGAAGGCAAATGCATTGAGTGGGAAAGGGATTTTTAAAACCATTGGAAAATAAAAAAAGTAACAAGCTACTGTATAATAACCCAGGCTATTATTCTATTTGGCTTGATTTTGTCTTTAACTGATAGCAGCCACATTTGGGGTTTCAGGATTCTACCTTGCTAATAATCCTAGATATGAATCTGGGATCTTGTACATAGCAATAGCAATAGCAGTTACACATATACCGCTTCATAGGGCTTTCAGCCCTCTTAAGCGGTTTACAGAGTCAGCATATTGCCCCCAACAATTCGGGTCCTCATTTTACCCACCTCGGAAGGATGGAAGGCTGAGTCAACCCTGAGCCGGTGAGATTTGAACAGCTGAACTGCAGAACTGCAGTCAGCTGAAGTAGCCTGCAGTGCTGCATTTAACCACTGCGCCACCTCGGCTCTATAGTATAAGTATAAAGCATAAAAGCATAAGTAATGTTCTAATGTAATAATTTTCCAAATACCCCTGAGGTACTTTCCAATTCTTTAAACAGCCAGAATAACAAGTATTATAACCAGGCACCTTTTTAAATGAGAAACCAGGTAGGCTCATAAGAGAAGAATACAGGTAGTCCTCACTTAATGACCAAGAGCCATGGTGATGCAGTGGTTAGAATGCAGTACTGCAGGCTACTTCTGCTGACTGCTGGGTGCCAGAAGTTCAGCAGTTTGAATCTCACCAGGCTCAAGGTTGACTCAGCCTTCCATCCTTCCGAGGTGGGTAAAATGAGGACCCAGATTGTTGGGGACAATAGGCTGACTCTTAGAGAGGGTTGTAAAAGCACTGTGAAGCGATATATAAGTCTAAGTACTGTTGCTAAGTGCTATTAGATCAGCAACTAGTTATGCTAATTATGACAGCATCAAATGGTGTGTGTGTGTCTTACAACTGACCATTGTGACCATGTGATCACAATTTGGGAACCAGCTCACAATTATGAGACCTGCTGCATCCCATAGGCATGTGATTGCCATTTGTAACCTTCTCTGCCACCTTCTCACAACCAAAGTCTATGGGAAACTGGCAGGAGGTTGCAAATCACTCACCTCCACCAATTCTTATTCCAAGAAGTCTCTGGACAGCATGTGGACAGCACCTGTACTCTGTAGCGCCTGACTGCATTTTCTAGTGGCTACCCCAGCACCTGCCCACCCTGCACTCTAGCACCCACCTGTGGGACCTACCCGCCTACTTATCTGGAACAAAGTTTCGGTAGCATAAGCAAACATGATGGGGTCTTGTGAGTCCTTGCTTAACCATCTACACACTCATTGCTTAACAATGACAGCGTCTACTACCATTGCAGTCATGATACTTTCTGCTTTATGGCTGCATCATTTAGCAATGGAGATTCCAGTTCCAATTATCATTTGTAACCCAAGGATTATCTGTAGTTCAAAATTTTGTTACAGGTGATTATATGAAAAATAAATTCCTTAAAATAAAAATAGAACATTGGCTAGCATATTTCTAACATTTTTTTTTCTATCTCCATCTTCTAGAAGAAAAAAGGGAGAAATCTCCTACGTAAGCAGGAAGATTACAGGCCGCTAATAGATGGACAGTTCAATTATCTGGACATTCAGGCTGTTCCCAAAGGCAAAGTCTTGATAGAGGAAGCCTTGACTCTTCTCAACAATCATCAACGCTCTCCAGAGACATGGACTGCTGAGAAAATAGCAGATAAATATTCTTTAGAACTGAAGGATGTGAATAACCTTTTAACATTCTTCATCCCGTTTGTTATGGAGTTCCTTCCTTACAAAGACCAGAAAACCCTGGACTCCAAATAAAAATTGCAAGAGAACTCTAGAGAGTTTGTCAGTCAACCATAATTACATACATATAGTAATTCTTCCTCCCCCATCAATCAAACATAACAATTTCAGTAGTATCTATTTTCTTTGGCACATCTATATCAGCAAAACCAACCTGATCATTGAGCTAGGTGGGGGAGATGTGCCGACAGCCAGTCATGCAGTTTTCCTAAATATTCTAAAAATGTTGGCTGCCTCATGGATGATGTGTTCCAAAGCATATGTTCATTACCCAGAATCAGACAATAAAAGTGCAGCTTCTTTGCACCTGATATTTTTCAGCTGGAGTTCTGTAGAAGCTTCTGCCCTAATAGCATTCTGCAAATAGCTTTCAAAACAGATTTGTATCTTCCTTCTGAGAATTTTCCAGTGCGTATTTGTAGTTATTATATTTGGTCAACAAAGGAGTACGCATACAAATGGGGAAGATTAAATTTAGGGATAGTGTTCTTTATATTTTGAGTTTATTACCGGTGTTAGAAACAAAGGATGTTTGAAGCAAATACTGTTTTTCCTCATGTTTGGATCCTAATTTCTAGTTATTCTTCCTTACTACATTGTTCAGCTTAATATCCTATTGTTAATTATTGACATTATACCCATGAAATCTGTCTTAGCTGCTCAACTTGTTTCAGCCTTTCAGTAAAGGCCTATAATAGATAACTAGTGAAGGTTCTGCATTTTATGATTGTGGAAATAACAATTGAGATACAGCTTTCCTCCTTTTGGTTCTAATACATTTGTTCTAGCTACTTAACTTTTTTGGGGTATTATTTGTAATTGGAGCAAACTTCCTGGTGAGACTTGGAGAGAAGGAAACATTAGTGGACAGGATTGGTTATTTGAGCCACCAGTTGTATGTTATCCCCAGTTCTCAGGTTTGGTTGGGCAAATAGAACAATTAAAAATAAGTCCCTATAGTATAAATGTTGTATTTTTTTTCCTATAGGAAGATAGTGGGATCCGAATCCAAACCTTCCCTGGATTGATGTACATTATTTGTTTTTTGTCCCTAGTAGCAACAGAGATGGAAGGTTGATGAAAATTTTCTCACTCCATAGGGGAGTGTTTGGAAAGCGTCACCTCTACCTCTCTGTTTTGACTTGTGTGGCCCTGGGGATGCTTTCTCAGAGGCTACTATTTGCAAACAAAGATACCCTGTATCATAACATTGACTCTAAGCTGACTAGTAAATTGCGCTTTGAGGTCTCTTGAGGAGAAAGTGTTCATCAGATGCAGAAAAAGAAAAGTCTTTTGTCTAGAAGAAACTGGGGGGGGGGGGGAATCAGCTAGATTGGTTAAAATACTCCGAAACTGAAACCTGACTTTAGATAGGTATACCTTGAGCAAAAGCAGATTAAGATGCTATTTATGGATTCCAAAATGTTTCTGCTCATAGAACTTGTGACTTTTTTCATTAGCGCCCCTGGTGTTGCATCCATGTTAATCAAAAATAGATACGCATTAGAACCGATACATAAAACCCTAGTGGGAATTAGCTATATTATTGTGTTATCCTGTTGCAGCCAAACCCAAAAAGCATCAAGCAGCCCCTTCAATTTCATTATGGCATAGACAAGTATTGATCAGAATCGGTTTCTTCAGATGAAATAGTGTTATCCTTAATTAGCAGCAGTGTGGAATGAAGAAGAATGAGATTAGAGAGAAATTCTACCCAAAACTCAGCAGCAGAATGGTTTTGTTGAAATTTAAAACTTATGTAAAATACAGCTTTGGTGATAACAAATATTTACTATAACAGCTCTGCCTGATAATATTAAATTAATTTCAATTTAGAATGAGCTCATTGTCTTAGCTGAACCTGTAGACCAGTGTTTCTTAACTTTGGCAATTTCTAGTAGTATGGACTTCAACATCCAGAATTCCACAGACAACCGGAAGTTGAAGCCCACATATCTTTTTTTTTAATTGAAGATTTTAAAAAAGCTTTTACAAATATTTACCTCCCCTCCCCCACCCGAACCAAACNAGAAAGTATCTACAGACCAGGAATGAAATCAACTTACCTTCGCTATTGGTTTGCAAATGTGATCTTCCACGCATGCACAGAGCATAAAATATGGGACGTGATTATGTCCTCCCGCCACCACTGCTACCAGTTTGCCCGAACCAGATATAACTGGCTGAATTGCACCACTGCTACAGACCTCTCATATCCTGAACATAAAGTGTTTCAACTTCTTCCCTTTGGCCATTGCATGTTAAAACAATTAGTCACAAAGATAGGTTCTCCTCCCACCCCTTTGTGGGGTGAATACCTAATAATTACCACAAAGATATTTACCCTTGTAGTAGGGTTGTATTGCTATTCTCGTCTTTTCTACTCCTATTGGTGTCTTATGATACTTTGCATGTATACTAAGATCTTCTGCACTGGACACAAAATCCTTATGTGTCCATTCACACTTGGCCAATATTCTATTCTATTCTATTCCATTCCATTCCATTCTTTCTCTCATATAGGATCTTGAGTGAATGATATTTAAGTATCCATCAGTTATTTAAGACTTTTATGCATCAATCATATCTCTAAAGCCTTAAAAGACAAGACTGTGCAATACCTAAAGGTACCAGCTTTAGGGAGAGTTGCTCAGTCCAAATTTAGAAGTGGAACTAGAAGGACCAAACGAGGGCTTCCCTTCATCGTTTTAAGTATTATCTCAATATTGCAGTACTCTAGTTCAAGTAATTGGTAAAGCCAAAGACATTGTTGCCCCCATCTTTTGAAATAATGTCCAAATGCCATAATTGAATGGTTTATTTTCATTCTTTTTACCTTTCTTCCTGCACAGCAGGAGATCAGATTTAACTAGGTTTCCTCCACTGCTTTCACCCTTTCTTTGCCCATATTCAAGACTCCTCTTTTGCCTCCTTTATTTGTCAGTGCAACCCACTCATTCTCTCCTTGTGATCATTATCATCCTGTTTTTATTATTTTTAAACTATATCTTTTTTTGTCTTCCTACATTGACCTTTGACCCTATTGCCAAGCTAACAACTTGTTTTCTTGCAAATACTCCCTTGGTGGCCAAACCGAAAAGAGAAAAAGATAATTCTTATATTAAATTGACTTTCTCTTCTTTTTCTTTATGCCATCTCCTTTCCCTGATAAACTGCTGTGTTCTTGAATTCTTACTTTAGGGATTTGAATCGGTAATGAAGAGACTTGGTTGGCTTCAAAGCTTCTGATTGAAAAATAGATGGAGTTATGTACAAAATCCTGTGATTCAACAATTGAGAGATTACTTCTGATATTTTGGAAAAAGATGGTGGCTTCTTGGTTATCGTGCTACATATATATACATATACATATACATACACACACACACACACACACACACACACACAC